TACGACTGCTCAATTCATCCCAAAGATTCCCGATTCAAAAACGCCCAATTTGGAATTGGATGAACTGTGTACGTCAAAATTTGAAGGTGGCGACGGCGGGAAACATAAAATCGTCGGGTCGATGATTATGGAGGTGATTCGAGGCCTGGGAATGTTTGGAAGCTTCATATGAAAGCTGGGTGAACGATATTCGAGTGGTCAATTGGAGTGGGGAGGTTTGAATCAACAAATTCCAAGTTTGCAGGTTGGGTCGTCGTTCGTCACTGCGACAAGGAGTTCTGGACGACTCCTAAGTTGCCTTCCAGCAAATTTGGTCGACAATTCCAGTTTATTTCGACCCCAGACAACATTAGTAGTGTCACTGCACGCTTTAAAGTTCCAGGAGCAGATTGAAGATGAAGTTGCAGCTGCTAATGTTCTGCCGAAAAGGATGTTTCAGCAGCCAACTTTCGATCCCATTTGGGATCAATTCTTCAAAGATTTTGAAAAGAGGAAGGATCAAGCTTTGAGGGCAAAGCTTTTTGAAGAGGGGAGCCTGATATGATCCAAATTGTCCACTTCTACAAGTCACAACTACTTGCCAAAGAAGCTATCAAAGTTGGAAAGAAGAAAGGCAGAATTTGGCTAAGTCAAAATCCGTGTTCAGGGTACATACTTTGGAGGCATGTTTCTCCCAATTGGCTTGGTGGAAATTTCATTTCAAGTGCTTTTTTTACAGACAAAGTTTCCATGTTTCCAATGGTATGCTTTGTGGATCCAGATGATGTCATTAAGGTTGTTTTCCAAGGTCTCAAAGTTGCTACCTCAAAACTGGAAAACTGCTAGAAAATGGCTAAGGCAGAAAACTGTTTTGTGAAGCCTACTTTGGAGCTCAATTTGAGGAGTATGGATCTGATTCTAGTCCAAAGGCTTCCACAACATGAAACTAGGTATGTTTGTGAGCAAAGGGAAGGAATTGGATGAAGAATTGGAGTTTGCGAAGGCCTCGAACAAAAGGCGTGAAGTTAGTACGAAATCTGCCTTTTGACTGTTTGCTCGCAGCTTACTTGCACTTGAAGAAAGAGAGTTTAAATCCGAATTTTGAGTCCTTTTTAGAGTAGATTTTTACCTTAATTGTTTCCTAGTTCTATTAGGTTTGTATTAGGTTTATTTTCCTTTAAATACCTTTCTACTTTCGTTGTAAAACTCAGACTTTGAATAATCGAAAAACAAACCCTTTGGTTTTGTGCAAGTTGCAACTTGTGTTGAGTTTGGTGGATTCCAAGCTCGTGAGCTCTTGTATCGATTGAATAGTCACTTCAATCGTGGTCGGGCATCTACCGTTTATACCAATCGAGCGTTTCCCAAGTGTGGAATCGTCCTTTTTGGTTCCGTTTTATCCAAGATCGCATTAAGAACTCTTTGTTCTTGATTCGAGCTCAATCGATTCTTCGATTGAGTCGTTAGCTGCGTGACTTTGATAAACATACACCCCCCAGGGGCGTATCACAACTAGTGATCAATCTGTCACGGAATCAATTCAGTAGCGATCGATTTGTCACGGGATCGATCCACTCACCAAGTCTAGGGGAAGCACTAGGAGGAGCAACTACTGATCCATTTGTCACATGATGGATTCGTTAGAGATCGATTTGTCACGGAATCGATCCTCTCACTCAGGCTCTAGTGGTTGCCTAGGTATCTCCCTCAAACCGGAGTTTGAGCGGCTTCATCACAACCAACCTAGCTGCAAACTGGTAACCTTGAACCGCAAAGGGATGCAAATATGGGCGTAGACCACAATCTCGATTGCTAAACCGAGGTAAACATTATAGGTCGTGTCACTCGGCCCCCTCGGTTTAGGCAATCGGTGGTGACTTACTCCCTCACTCAACTCAAGGTTGGACGACTTCATCACGCTTAACCAATTTGCTTAATTTAACATTGAGGTTTGCCCTAAATTAACCTAGGTTAAAGTGGCTAATTAGATTGCTAAGCACCAACATGCACAAACCTAAGGATGCTAATCACAAAACATGCAAAACCCATAGATTGCTAAGTACAAGCATGCACAATCAACATGAATAATACCTCAATCATTGCATTAAACAATACCCAATGACAACCATTCAATCTAAACAAGTAATTACAAAGTATTAGTTAGGAATCTACAACACCCAAGAGAAAAGAGTGATTTTCTAGAGAGAGGGGGAGGGGGGTTACAAGTTTGAGCTCAAGATCTTCTTCTAGGCTTGAATCTCCACCCAAGCCTCCAATGATGCTCCAAGATCACTCTAGCTCTCTCTCTCTCTCTCACTAGAACTCGCCTTTGGTGTTTTTGGGCAAACCCTAGAGAAAGAAACCAATTCTTTTCCAAAAACCCGCTCCTTTTTCTCTCTCCCCGCTGTTGTCTTCATATTTGCCCGAAAGCGATCAGTTCACGGACGCGTTGCCTGTTCACGGCCGTGAACACATAAACGTGTTCGTGAACTCAGTCGTCTCTAAAATGCACCGCCTTGCTTCATGGGTTCACGGTCAATGGCCACAGTTCACGGTCTTAGAGACCGTGAACTACCTTGTCGTCAGTAACTTTAGGAACCTCGCTGGATGCCTCGGTGTTCACGGTTTGTGGTCGAAGTTCACGGTCTTAGGAGACTGTGAGCTGCCTCTCCCGACCGTGAACTGCGGTTGTTTCCTGGGACGCCTTCACTTCACTGTTCAGACTTTTCTTCGGTTTTTGCACTTTTTGACCTTCAATTATCCCAAAATTCCACCTCGACCCTTCCACATGTGCTAGAACCTGAAATGTATCAAAACAAATACAACCTAGCGTGAAATATGTCGAGGAACGATGAAATACTAAGCTAAACGAAAAGGAAATGAGGGGTAAAATGTGTACATTTGGGTCTGAATCATATACCGAAATTATTTAAGGTTTGGGATTGAAATTGGGATTGACTTTAGGGTGTAATTCGGTATTTGGGATTTCGGTATTTGTTATTGGGATACCGATACCATACCGATTTCCACCCCTAATTGTTATGTTGCATTAGAATTTTGACAACTACGGTAAAATTACAACAATCAATACGAAAATAGAAAATAGATACTTGTTAGGATTAGATGTAAGACGACATCATTTCGTTTTTTTAGGGGTTATCAGGTAGAAAGTGGGTCAAACTTGCACATGATCCAACCCCTAATTCCAATTGCGGATACAACTCGTATCTAATTCAAAACTCATCAACGCCGAACTTTACCCAATTTGTCCAATTCTGCTTGGTTTGGGCACCCGCGAGTTTATATTCAATTTTCATCCTTAATCGCTTGGCTTGGGTATTTAAATTGTCATCCTCACTCAAAATAGAAAGGCTTTTTAGTTGATCCTTTCCAATTTCCAAATCTCGCTTGATCTTTGCCACTATTCTATCAACACTCAGTTCCACAATGAGCAGTGTATAAGACATGTCTTGAACCCTTGATATGGATACTTACTGGTTACACTTAAAATATTTTTGGCCTAAAATCAATGTCGTAATAATGAGTCTCAACATTTAATTTGATGTCGCGTGATAAAAAACGACATCGTTGAGAGACAAGCAACGTCGCGGAGGGGTCAAACGGCACTACGTGTAAGATCCAACAACGCCACAGTACTTGAAACGACATTGTTTAGTAGAAAACAATGTCGTGAGCCATGATTCAGCTTTGCAATATTGGTGTTGGTATGGGAAAATGAGTGATCTCTATTCCTTACCGAAGAAGGAGAGGATTCGGCCAAGATTGCTTAGGGTGCGTGACCAACACCGGTGTGGAATTAGAAATAGTGTTGTTTAGTAAAATAAAACAACGCCGAGAAGTCAAACCCAAACTATACCACTATACTATAAAACGACGTCGGTTACTATGAAGCAACGTCGTGAGATGTTGGGCACTTATGTACGTTGGCAGGATAAGTGTTTAGTTATCCAAACTTGGCCATGTATGTGTCTGCCAATTTGGTGAATTTTAGGCAAATTAATAATTACTTAAGAAATGGATTATGGCACTTATTGAAACTGTAGCGAGATTAAAAGCTTGACAGTGTTTAGTGAAAACAATCTCGCAAGAGTTTAACAATGTCGTGGAGTAGGAAAGCGACGCCTGTTTTGTCCAAAACAATATCACGAGTTTGGTGAAATTGACGACTGGGTTGGAGGGACGAGCAATTCAATATCGCCGTGAAGTTTCAAGCTTGACACGAAATCAAACAGTGTCGTAGAATAGAAAACGACACTGTTTAATGAAAATCCACGTTGAGTCTCGGTACGTCGTTGTGAATTCGACAAGGCCAACGGTGTCGTGGAAGGAGAATAAAAAATCATAGTGATGAATATTTGGACGACGTTGTGATGAAGCGATGTCATTTAGTTAAAAACGACGTTGCGAGGCTGCGAGCTCAACAATGTTGTGAGATCAACGATACTGCAAGTTTTGACGGTGTTGTGTAGTCAACGGCGCCGAGAGATCAACAACCTCGCGGCGAGTCTGCGGTGGCGAGGGGTGAAACAACAATGTTGTTTAATCAAAGGAGGTGTCGGGATTCAAACCGTGGTACAAAGTTGATGTGTGAGCACGTGACTTTTACGCGAGGAAGATTGGAGAACATATGCAAAGTAGTTGAAGACTACAACTTCGTGAAGAAGGATGGAGCACATGGGAGGCAACGGCGAGGCGGTTTCACAACGTGAAAACTACGGAAGTGATTTTGATAAAAGCACCAGAGCAAGGAGAGAGAGTGAGGACAACAAAGAAATCAACACAGAAACAACTCTGTCAAAACTTCTTTTTTCTCTGTAACTCCTTCGCATAGCTCTACTTCTAAGAAGGATCTCCATAGTTGTAGCCATAGCGTAGTCGCGAAGCTCTCCATCGGAATCTCCATAGGAGTAGTTGTAAGGTAAATTCCACCAAAAATCTCAAACACTCTCGTTCGAACATTGTTTGGAGAGGTGTGAACCGAGTAACAATCGTTTTGGTTTTCAAAGCTACTCTTTTCATTCTAACAAAGCATGGCCACAACGCTGATGTATGGAGAGTATAAGTGGGCCAAAACAGTGTTGCTAGCTGCTATGTTGGCAGGATGGGTGTCTAGTTATCCAAACTTGGCCAAGTATGTGTCTCGCCAATTTGGTGAATTTTAAGCCAAATTAATAATTATTTAAGAAATGGATTTATGACACTTATTGAAAGTGTAGCAAGATTAAAAGCACGATAGTGTTTAGTGAAAACAATGTCGCAAGAGTTTAAACATATCGTGGACTAGGAAAGCGACGTTGTTTTGTCCAAAATAATGTCACGAGTTTGGTGAAATTGACGACTGGGTTGGAGGGTCGAGCAATTCAATATCGTCGTGAAGTTGCAAGCTTCACGCGAAATCGAAGAATGTCGTAGAATAGAAAACAACACTATTTAATGAAAAGCCACGTTGAGTCTCGGTACGTGGTTGTGAATTCGACAAGGCCAACCGTGTCGTGGAAGGAGAATAAAAAATGATAGTAATGAATATTTGGACGACGTTGCGATGAAGCGATGTCGTTTAGGTAAGAATGACATTGCGAGATCAACAGTTCTGCAAGTTTCAACGGTGTTGTGTAGTCAACGACGTCGAGAGATCAACAACCTCGCCGCGAGTATGCGGTGGCAAGGGGGGAAACAACAATGTTGTTTAATCAAAGGCGGTGTCGTGATTCGAACCGTGCTACAAAGTTGATGTGTGAGCACGTGACTTTTACGCAAGGAAGATTGGAGAACATATTCGAAGCAGTTGAAGACTTCAACTTCGTGAAGAAGGATGGAGCACGTGGGAGACAAAGGCGAAGCAGTTTCACAGCGTGAAGACTACGGAAGTGATTTTGATAAAAGCACCAGAGCAAGAAGAGAGAGTGAGGACAACAAAGAAATCAACACAGAAACAACTTTGTCAAAACTTCATTTTATCTGTAACTCCTTCGCAGAGCTCTCCTTCTAAGAAGGATCTCCATAGTTGTAGTCGTAGAGTAGTCGCAGAGCTCTCCATAGGAGTAGTTGTAGCGTAAATTCCACCAAAAATCTCAAACACTCTCGTTCGAACATTGTTTGGAGAGGTGTGAACTGAGTAACAATCGTTTTGGTTTTCAAAAGTCAGAGATGCATCGATCAAATCAACACCCCCAGTGGATATTTGACGATCGTCTTGATTTCAGCAGCCAGTGGTGCATATGATCAAACGGCACCGCAAAAGTTTTCACTGCAAAACAATCAAATCAACATCCCCGAAAACAAATTCGACACTGGCGGTGGATATTTGGTTTCGCGTGTAACATTTACCAATTAAGTTAGGTCGACAGAAAACCTAGTTCGGTTTACAAGTAGTACACGATGAACTTCATGTAACTTTCAACATATGTAAGTTCTGTAAGAAACGTCTAAGCAAACACCACACAGTGGTTCAACCCCTTCATTGCAAACTCTATGTAACAAGAACATTGACATTCAGTGCCTAATAAATTCGCAAGGGCGAGGAAATGGGCAGCACACACATACAGAAGAAAGAAGAAAAGGAGCAAACCAAACGGAAGAAAGTAGAAGAGTGAGTAGACGATACTCGACTCGAGAGAAAAAAACAGCGTCGAGACGAGAATCATTACACCATGTCAGTCATCATAAATCCATCAATAATTTTCAAATACAAACTGTACTCCTCAACTCTTCACAATGCCATTTACCAGCCAAGAGATTATTACTGACATCTTGAATATGATGGCCCGAGAAATTCATCCAACAGATGCTCGATGGTCTTTCTAGATATGATTTTTTCGATTTCAAGTGCCCTCATCTCATCCTTTAGCCCTGCATTATGATCATATATCAACATTTTCATCGGCAGAAGAATCACAATTGTCATAGGTTGTTGATCAGCAGCTATGATAGATCATAGACCAGAAAGAAATAATTCAGCAGGGAAAAAGAGACAAAATGCGGTATTGAGACAAACCTAGCGAGTGAAGAGGTTTGAGTGGCAGTTCAGAAGCGTTGGCATCAAAGAACTTCAAGAGACTTTTGGTTGCATCCGCGGACTCAGCAACAATCAGTATCTCCCTCTGAAGTGGACTCATGGATTGGAAGGGAAATGAAGAAGAGTCATTGACAAGTGGATGAGAAGTTGAATACAAGAAACGACAGGAAAGGGGACATTCTCCGACCTTGAAGTTCTTTTGTGAATCGTAATAGCCAGACACAACCAATAGCAGTCGAAGTTTCTCGAACTCTGGAGTTACACACAGAACAGTCAGCCGAAAAGCAACTCTTACGTCTTGAGGTACAGTACAAACTATTTGGCATTGGATATGAACTGTGTAATTCACATTTGAAATAGATGTCTACATACTGGCGGATGAGAGAGACTGACCTAGAAAGTGTTTGATTGCTTCAATTGAAAAATCCTCACGAGTTAGAAGTTGCTTGATTGTCATGCCCGTAGAACTCATCCCAAAATTTGAAGCTATTGATTTTGAACTGCTGGAATCCGATTTAGCTGTCAAAAGAATGTTGTTGTCACAAGGGGGCTTGAATATGCAAGAGCAGACTGTTGAAAGTAGGATCATCTAACGAACTAGAGGCTGAGGAAGGTGAGTATAATCAACAACAGGTAATCGTTTAAAAGTATGCTACCAGGAAAGAGTTGCAGATTAAGCAAATCAAGGAGACGTGTAGTAAGTTCATACCAGCTCTAGCCCACTTCTTGAAATCCTTCTGCAGCACTTCAAATGCTTTCAGATTATGAGACACATCGTGCTTCTGCTGTCTCACTGCATATGCATAAACATTTGGTGATGTCAACACTAGGCCTTTAGCACAATAAAGAGTCTCGAGCTCAGCTAAGGCCTAAGCAGAAGAATAAATTGAGTGAAGCATATTGGTAGAGCCAGAGCAGGCATACATATCTGGTAAAGACCATTGAACCCGTAGTGGCCAGCACCACTGATCAACAAGGTGGCCATATATTTGTCTTTGGAGCTACATTGTGCTTTGGAAAGATTTCCAGTATCTAACAGGATTCCTGCTAGCTTTATGAAAGAAAGAAAGAAAAGAAAAATCTAAGTCGAGAGCAAAATGCAACATTAAGTCAAAGTTATAAAGTCCAAATTAAAATAAGCGGGGAGGAGAAAGTTAACTTCAATATCCAATGATGAGACAAAATTTGAGTAGCTACTCTACTGCTCTGCTATCTCAATTGAACTCAGTAGTAGCACATACCAAAAGCCTGCTAAACCCCAGCCCAGCTAAAGTCTCTGGGGACCATAGAACAAACTTCTCCGCGATCACAGTACAGCAGGAGTCATTCTGCAGTACGCAGGAACTTAATCATATTGGGTTTACCATGAGAAGATAACAGTAAGATGTTGCAAACAAGCAACAATAAGAGTCATCCGTATAGCTATGTTCTTGGTGGATTACTTTCTTTAGGAAAATAAGCACCACCTATTTTCAAACTTCACTTTTCGAACATCTGGTACATGTTGGATACTTGGATATGTATGGCAACTAAAAGGGAGTGTCCCACCAAATAAGTGTTCTCGCTTGGTGCTACAAGTTAATAGTGCCCCTGAAGTCGCAAGCAGATAGCTTGAGCAGCATGGTCGATTAAAGCTTACCTCAGACCCAGTTACAAGCTGAACCCCGGGGTACAAAGACTCGGCCTGAAACACAGGAAATTTATGTGCTTCAGAAATTCAGAACCTCTAGAAAAAAGGGGATCTCTGTGGAGAGGCGTCCTTTAATATATAATAATGCCACCTTTCTGCAATGAAATACTTCAACCACAGCTCCCTTTAGTGCCTGTTACACGTACGGGAATACAGTTAAACATCATGCTTGGCTTACGGCTGAGACAATAAAACTATGTCTTGTCTTGTTAAATCAATGAATTTGGAACCTCTTGCTTTGTAGCGAGTTTGTGTCCGCCGATCAGAACAACCTTAAGACTCCCGAAAAGATCATAGTAATGCAGGTCAATCTGCTCAAAAATTCAATTCCAGAAAAATGGTCGGTCAGTTTTCTAACTTGATGGTCATTTCAGCAGCATGTTTTAGTAGTTTAACGACGCACACCTCATCCACAAAAATCAATGATGACTCGTCAAGTTGGCATGAATCTAGCAACCAGCTTATTTCAGGGTGAGATGCTAAGTCAGCCCTCTTCATATTGATGACAGGCACAGTAAATAATTGGTCATTCCCCAGTGTTTCGTGCAAGTAGAAGGCATACAGAATAGTTGAAGCAATCGATCCAATACCTGCACACACAAACTCAACGTATAAGCATGGTGAACCTTGCTCATATTTGGTTGCCAGCTTTGGCTAGAATAATTTAACACATTACCAGGCATGTCTTGGCCAATTACGGCCTGCAAGAACTTCCCAGGCACACCACCTCGAACATCATCCTTCCTAAATTTCAAGTACTGATTCACCCTCTTAATACTTTCACACGACTCCACTACTTGGCACAGCTGCGGGGAAAAGCCTTTGTAGAATGATGCTGCTGACAGAGGGAGTGGAAGCTTTGATGGGATTGGCTTGCTTTCGCTGAGATGAAAGGATCTTCCAGGATTATCGCGTGATGCTTCCACCGCAGATGGCTTAGATTCATTCTGTGAATCGTTGGTGCCACTTGAACAGCCAGGCGAATTGTACGAGCGAGACCTTCGGACTCCAGACGAAGAAGATTCACTCCCTGAATCATTTCTGCTGCCTCTTAACTCGCTGCTCACGCTGTGAGAACGAGACCTAGGGAGTCCGGGGGAAGTGGTTTCCTTACTCCGGCGCTTGGATTCATTCCCTGAGTCGTCTGTGCTGCTCGCATCGGCACTCAATTTGGACGAACGCGGCCTTGGGATGCCGGCGGCAGAAGCGGTTTCCTTGCTTGGACGGCGCTTGGATTCACTACCTGAATCATCTGTACCGCTTGAATCGACGCTCGGATTGTAGGAAGCCGACCTGGAGAGTCGAGACGAAGCGTTTTCCTTGCTCGGGAGCTTGGGCTGAATGCCTGGATCGCTTCTGGTGCTAGAATCGATGTAAGAGCGAGACCGTGGGAGTAACGAAGCGGTTTCCTTACTACCAGATGATAGCTTCCGCGACGAGGAGCGTCGAACCGTTTTGATGTCGAAAACAATATCCTCCGCCGCAGCGGCGGCCGAAGCCTCCTCCGTCGAGCTTCTCACCGCAACCAATTTCCCACCCCTTGGAATCGGAACTCGGTTAGCAAGATCCGATGAAAATCGAGGAGAATTCGCCGGCGGACTTCCGGAGCTGCTTCCACTACGGCTTCCACTCTCGGAGTTCGGGGTCGGAGACCGAGCCCTAGCGCTCGTCAGCGCGTCGTTACCTTTCCGAAGTCCGAGAAACACCGGAGCTTCTCGAGTCCGGACATACGGTCCCTGCAAAGTGGAAGAGCTACGGAATTGGAAACCAACCAGCAAAGATAGCATAAGAATTATACTCGGAGTTAGCAATTACACGTTACCGGAGGAATTGATTTATCGGCGGGGGGCTTCATTTTGTCGGAATCGGAGCTGAATGTGGGAGGAGGAGAGGAGGCGGCAAAAGCAGAGCTGAGAAGGACGAGACAGCGGGGCAGCGGAGTCGAGGAGGAAGAGTCGAAGAAAAAGAAGAGAACGCCATGGAAATGGTTGTAGAATCCGCCATGGCATCTAGTGGGGAGGTATCACAAAGCTGCTGTAAGCATCGGTTCGAACAAGAAACTGCCAACACAAGGATCGCCATCTTTGTCTGATTCCTCGTTGGCGAAATGGAGAGAAAAGGAGCCAACCGGCGATTTGCGATACACTTGGACTTATTTCTTACTTTCATTTAGTGGAACCGGATATGGTTAAGTGGATGCAATCCTGGGCCGTAATTATTGGGCCTGAAGCCTCGGAACAAAACTAACCCAAGCTTTGGACGAATGTTAATCATGTGACGCATTTGGGCTTTCAATTTTATGGGCTTTCTTTTGGATCGAATGATGGGTTTCATTTCTCATCATTGTCTATGATATTCCCCTGAGAATGGCTTAATTGCAAGTTTGGTCACCCGAATTGCTTAAAAATTTCACGTTTGCCACTCGAATTGATTTATTCCATTTATAGTCACTCGAATTAGTTGAACAGTCCAAGTTCGGTCACTCTCCGTTAATCTCCGTTAGACTCCGTTAAGTGCGACCGTTAAGTGATGACGTGGCTAACAGAAAGACACAGTCAGCACATTTAAACATTAAAAAACGACGACCCGACCCGCCAGCTCACCCTTACCCGCCCAGTCAGCCATTCTTGTCCAAACCCGCGAACCAACCCAATTAATTGACCCTAAACCCAAACCCAAGACCCAACCCCCCTGAATTGTAAATCACAGACGCCAACAATTTCTTCCTTTTCCCCCTTTCCCTTCTGTTCCTCCCTGTACTCTCAATCTCTCCATCTTCAGCCTCCGATTGATGACAACGAAGCCTCTCTGGAAGACGGACACCAACACCGGAAAGGTCAGGAGGGTAGAGCTCCGGCGAGCCAAAGGAGCGATTACTTGAACGCAGATCCGTTTCTATTTTTTGGTCGTCTGAAAAAGAAAATAGAAGCGAAGGATAAGGCTGCCTTCCTGACTATCACATGGATATCCTTGTCGTTCCTACATTCACCATCGACGTTTCGCCTCCTCAGGCAGCGGCGGCTTACTCCCTCTCCCAGCCGTAGACCCAGCAGTTATTTCTGAAGCATAGGGTTTCGTCCGTTGTGGAGGGAGAAGAAGACGAGGATGGGTTAGTGGGTTCGATCTCGATCTCCAACCGCAGTCGTTTTGGCCTTCCGATGGCTAGATCTGGGAAATCGCTCGAAGATTCTTCCGATAGCTCGTCTTCATCCGTCGACGCTCCCGACGACAGCGACGAGGAAGAGGAAGACGACGGAGAGAGCAATAGCAGCAGCGGTGCCTCGTCGTCTATGAAGAAAGGCCTCGACTCTCTCGGCTCCATGGACGCCCTGGAGGACTCTCTCCCCACAAAGTGAGTTTGTGCTCCTGCTCGATTTGGATTCGGATCTCTCTACTACCCGATTATTAATTGGGGGGGTGATTTGATTTCTCAAAATTGCAGGAAGGGATTGTCGAATTACTTCGCCGGGAAATCGAAGTCGTTCGCGAGCTTGTCCGATGCGTGCTTGGCGGTGAGCCAAGCGAAGGATCTGGAGAAGCCGAAGCACCCGTTCAACAAGCGGATGAGAATTCTGATGGCGAACAAGTGGTCGAGGAGATCGTCGTTCTACAGCTGGCATAACCCTAAATCCATGCCGCTGCTCACCTTGAACGAAGACGACGACGAAAGCGGAGACCACAATCGCCGCCGGAGAACGAAGAAGACGACGAAGAGGAAGAAGACCGCCGTGAAAGCCTCTCGTCGTCCTCGTCCTCGGATAAGGATGAAGAGGATGAGAGAACGAGTTGTTGTCGTCTGTCATTTACAATTCAGGGGGGTTGGGTCTCGGGTTTGGGTTTAGGGTCAATTAATTGGGTTGGTTCGCGGGTTTGGGCAAGAATGGCTGACTGGGCGGGTAAGGGTGAGCTGGCGGGTCGGATCGGGTCGTCGTTTTTTAATGTTTAAATGTGCTGACTGTGTCTTTCTGTTAGCCACGTCATCACTTAACGGTCGTCATTAACGGAGGTTAACGGAGAGTGACCGAACTTGGACTGTTCAACTAATTCGAGTGACTATAAATGGAATAAATCAATTCGGGTGGCAAACGTGAAATTTTTAAGCAATTCGGGTGACGAAACTTACAATTAAGCCCCCGGAGAATAGAAACTTGATGCGAAATACCTGTTTTCTCATCATTGTCACGCCAAAAGAAAAGGAAGTTTATGTGGTTCTTCTGTACATGTCTATACAGATAGATCGGGTTCGATGTTTCAGACCAAAAGTATTTTTTCATGATGCAGCCAAGTCACAAGTTCATCGGTCAAAAGTGTTTGTTTCACACTTTATATCCACAAAATATAATTACAAACTTCCAACATTGATAGGAGTAGCCTAGGACAACTATTAGAGGTAAGAGATGATGTAAAACATTGTGGCTCAAAAGAAAAAGGGCGAAGTAAAAGAATGATGGTGTCCACAAATTATGATAGGTGGCAGGATGTAGTAAACGGTGGAACTTTGAGCTATATCATCGAAATCTAAATTAAATTTTTTGGTCGAAAGTGAATGACCTCTTTTATACAAGACCTACATGTATAATACTTTCGCAACTCTTATAACTACTTGGAAATTTCATAAAAGGCAAATTACTCTTTAATTCGATCTCTCCCGTGGCTTAATGTTATCACATATTCCTCACTTAGTCATCTCGTCTCTGAAATAGGAATATAAAATCTTGATCTAGTGATGGAAATGGAAATGTACTAGTGCAAAATGGAATCTCTAAGTAGCAAGAACATAGAGATAGTTTCAACACTTCACATCTCCTACAGCTACTTTTTAAGTTTCTATGCGATAATTTTTTTTCAAAAAGCAACTATTACAAATTGAACACTTCAAGCCAACTTGCGGAAAAGTAAGTTCCGTGATGGACACTAAGGGCACAATTAGTCTCGCAACATGATGATGTTTTGGGTTTAGGGCGCTCTTTGTTTATGCCAAATTCTTCGTCTTGGGTCCAGCATTGCATTTTGTTCTTTAATTATGAAACCTGGAAAAGTGTCCATCGAGAGAAAAGAAGTCTTGTTTTCTTAAAGGAAACTATAGGTATCTCCTACCCATAATTTAGTAGTTATATTACAGATTTTTTTAGTTTCCACATCAATCAAATGTTAGGATGTATATCAATATGAACCATCTATCGTGCTCAACTTGGCATGGGAAAGTAAATAAATCAAATATTATCTGTTAGGCCCGACGAACCTGGACCAAGTCCAACTAACAGTCAAAGTGTGCCCAGTTGTCCAAACTTGAGAACCAACCTGACATCCGCCCAAAAGGGCCCACGGAGCGATTGAACCCAAGCATAACTACTGAGGGACAATGGTAACTCGAGATAGCTTTCAAAATCGGAAGGAAAGCAAGGCTGGCTCCTCTGCTGATGCTTAGCCACTTCGAGAAAATAAGGACATTGAGACCACTTAAGAGAACAATCAGAAATACAACAAATAGGTGTGCGGCTGAACGTTTATTTAGTTCGCCACAACGCCTTAATATGACTTGATGTGTTCGAACAAAGCATTAATAATAATTGACTTGATCCCTCTAGTATAAATAGCGAAGTGGAACTCAAAGAAAAATAATTATGGAATACGAACAATTCACAACAAACACTTTAAAAATTCTCCCCAATTCAAGCCTGATTGGGCTCATTAGGGCACGCATACGGTTCGGTAAAATCGAACCGAAACCGAATTAATGTTATTCGGTTCGGAATTCGGAAGGGAAAATGGCATATTTAGGAAATCAGGGTCCTTTCGACCGAACCAAATTTCCGAATTCTGAACCGAATAACCGAATAACTTTAATTGCAATCTCCAAATGGTGAGTTTTAATGTTTTTACTTATTATAGGACTTAAATATTTGAATTATGTTAGTGTTTTATGACTTATGTGTTGAAATGTTTGATTTTATGCATATAATGGCGTATTTATTGTTCACATTAAGGTGAAAAGTAATTTAAAAGAGAGCAAATACAAGATAACCTCACAAATACGGTTTTGTATGGATAACCGAACCGAATTATAATTCGATTTGAACCGACCGAACCGAATTATAATTTGGTTCAAATTCGGTTTGGGGTTTGATGAAATTCGGAGACCCGATATGCATTATTTCGGTTTGTTTTGAACCGAATCGACCAAATGTCCACCCCTAGGGCTCATGTGTCTAGTCCCTTTATTCTCTCTTTCCACATTTTCTCAGCATCATCCTAGATACTCTCTCCTGACCATCCTCATCAATTCTCTAGACCACCTCTCCTCCACCCCACCTTCTTTATTGCCAAAATCAACTCGGACCGTCTCAAGTCGATAATCACTGCAGCAGCAGCCACAAATCCCCTAACAGATCCTCAACCCAGTACTCGAACGAGCTTAAACACTATCCAAGAAGATATAAGAGTAAAAAAAGAAAAACACTAAATGAGTTTAGCTATCAGTAAATTGTAAGCATTAAACCATAAATTAGTTTATACATTACACGCTCATGTACTAGTTCAATTGGTACATTGGTGACTTAATTTACACATATGGGTCATGTAACTCTTTCTCTGATGTATCAATCGAGGACATTAAAGGTATCAAAACGGCTAAACCCTATCTGTTGGCTTTTGGACGTCCACTTACGTGCTTGTGGTTGAACTAATTAGTTAACAAACAAATTTATGTTTACATGCAAACACATTGGTTTGGCAGGTGAACAGTTGGAGATGAACCCGCAACCAACTGATGATCTATGCTGGGCAGCACATGCACTTTTGATTTTGAACATAAAAAGGCAAAAAAAACATGCACAGAAGATATAAAGCAGCGACAAGAAATGAAAGCCAATGGGTGAGTGCTGGGAAAGGGGAAAAGAAAGTGGGATTATTATATTTGTATATGGAAATTTGTCAGTTGAGGTGGTTAGAGATAATATGGGAACAAAGGGTTGGATTCTTTTGAGATGGATGGGTAATATGGGTTAGTGGGGATTGGGCCAAAAAAAGGGAATCCAGATTCTTTGTCCAAAAGTGCAGTTGCAGAGCGCATTATTGATCAAGAATTTCTGGCTCCTGATTCGACAGAGAAAGAACGGTGAAGGAATCAGTTTGTGTGTGGGAAGAATTATATAAAAACTTGGTTTGGTAGGAGGTAAGTGGAGCAAAACATGGGTTAAACTGGACATGAGAAGTTGAGAATCTTGTAGGATGATCACTTATGGTTAAATTTAATTTGATATATCAGTTTTACATTGGTTTAACTTCCATGTAGATAAATCAATGCTTGAGTTAGAGATATGAAGTAGCTATATATATGTGTATTGTCCACGAGTTGGGTTTCAAGTTTCAAGATTGCTCGATCAGTGATTTTTACAATTATAATGATTAATTACTATTTAAAATTAATTATCTTAATAATTATATTAACTATATTATATTTATTAATCTTTATGGTTATTATATGTAATTTATTTATTTTGGGATAATATTTTATAAATTTAGTAAACATGTTTCATTATAATATAATTTACTTACTTTTCACTTTATTTGCACTTTCACTTTTTCATTCCAAACAACATTTTTTTCTTCCACTTAAATCCCCACCAATTTAAATCACATACAACTTTCCTCTCAACTTACACCCCACTGGACTTTGCACCCCTAACTGCCAAGCATATGTTTTGGTGCTACTGTTTACATTGTTCCGTGTCACCCCAATAAAAAATTACTCAATTATAAAATATACAAAATATTTAATTTATACTATGAGTTTCACTTACCATTTGAACCTGTATGTATGTGCTTTACTTTTTCTTTTTCAAAGGTGTTTAATATATCATATTGCATGTTTACATGTTGTGTAAAATGGTACATGCATGATATTTCTACAAGCAAAGCCAGTTGGATGAAATTTAGTGGTGTAATCCTGATTTGACGGCTACAATAGGATAATATGTATAATCGATAATACACTGATATAGTAGCTACACCATAAATGATTGGTGACCGGTCTTATTGATATACTAAATCTAAAGAAATAAGTATAAGACTTATATTTGGAACTCTACTAACCACTTGAGTTATTATGACAATAATAGTTTTCGAGAATACTCGTGTTTGGATTCTCACTATTCTAATATAACACATAGAATAAACTCTGAATCCATCTACCGTGAGTGTGTCAAATATATGATGAACATAACATGTGAATTGTATTGTCAATCGGCTACGAGCTGCTAACAGATGCATTGACGCCAATTTTGTTGACTCTTTTGACGGATTGGTGGAGATCTAATAAGGGCTTTGTTTGCGCCCCTGATCTGATTCTGGTCCCGACCGACACTTTAGCAGCTACTTGTTTTTATGTTACAAACAAGTTAGAAAGCAATTCACTCTGCATCGGCGCGGTAGCAGTTACTCCAAGTCTCCAACTGATCCATACCATACCAACCTAAAACTCGTCGACAGTCTGGTATTAAAGACAAAAAAAAAAAAAAAAAATTCAGCATAACCCTTAGAGTTAGAACTACTGTATTACCCATAATACCATAGTAGAGACAGGGTAGAGTAGTGAGTCGGAACACTTTATATTCGTTTTCGTCTCGTCAGAAAAAGCAAGAAAAAAGGGGATGGCGAGAGAATGTGGGGTTAGGGCATTTGAGAGTAATGGAAAGCAGGCAACTGGGGTTGGCGTGGGCATTGGCTGACTGGGTTTCGTACTTTTGGTCAAATAATTGCGTTTGTAGGATATCAGCGGTCCGAAATAAAATAAAAGATATTTTAGTGGAGTTTATATAGATATATGTGGTTTTAGTTGTATGAAACAGTTATGATTTCATTATAAAATATTTTACCGCTAATTTTTTTGGTATAACATTTGATATGATTGTACAACATTTAGTAAATATTGCTAGTAATTAGTATCCATGGAGGCATGGCGTAATAATAATTTTTTTAATTAAAATATAGCACACATATCAAGAAATTACATTGTTCATAAAAGAAACGTCACTATGAAAACTGTAACCACAGTGAAGGTGAGATGCGAATGAAGGAGTAACTGAAAAGGAAGAAGAGCCAGCGAATCAGATTGATGACGAAGACAATCAGATAAAATAGATTTGTCGATTTGCCTTCGTTGATGAAGACTGAGATGAGCTCGATTTCAAGCGTCGGCCAATGCTCAGTTGCACGTCCCACGGCACTCATCCCGGACCCACAGTGTCCAGTCGTCTTCAAACTTTCGGTAATGTTGCATCCCACCTCCTACATTGCTTGTAAAACAAAGATGCTTCAAACATAGCACATAAATAGATAGCTAGGGACATGAAGATTACATAAGAAAGTCGAGTTCAGTCTAATGCTTACGTCTTGAATCCCTTATGTTATGTGCGATTCAACCCATTTAAAGTAGCATAACTGAATTCAAATTCCTCTCTTCCTCACAAAGCTCACAAAGCTCAAAGCTAAAGAAAGAGCTTATAAACTAAAGATCACTTAAACCAATGTCCGTAACCCCAGCCTTCCAGTTTTATACTTCTTCCATGATTGCAACAACTAGCTTCTTGGTTTGAATACTTGCCTCCTTGTTCAAATACTTTGCCTTTTGATTGAGATACTTGCCTGCAATACAAATACAATATCAAAAATATTCCCTTTCCTTACTTGACCTTCTACAAAAGGAAAAGAAATCCCCATCCCTATCATAAATGAAAATCAAAATTTTATCAAATTAGCGGGATACAAACAAAGGACTTGTAATATATTGTTGGCATTCACTTTGGTATTGTGTCTTGGTAGCCATCGAATGTAGTGCCGACAAACACAAAACAACATAGGGGCAGAATACAAACCACCAAACCCTTCAACAACCGCGTTACCCTCCCCTGTTCTGTCCTGCCTGAAAATCCAGCGTGAACCCCACCCCAACCCAACCTAAAAGGACGATGATGATGATGATGATGATGATGATAATAATATCGTTCAACGAACAATCTGCGAATCTCTGTCTCTCTTTCTCCCCGACCTGACTCGTTGTTAGTATCTTTTCTTTTCTTTTCCCACCCTCTTTTATTTATTTATTTATTTTATATCAGAGAGAATATACAGTATTCTTTTGCTTTTGCTTTTGCTTTTGCTTTCCCTTTTGTGCTGTCCTTGTATGGAAAGAATGGATGATGATGGGCTGTATCGTATTTGTCGTACATGGCATGCACATTTCTTCCCATAGTATATTACCGCTAGCTCTTGTACATAACATATGGCAAGAAAATCCCTCTAAAAATCAATCAATTAATAAGAATGATGAATCCACGCCAAAGTTAAAGCTGCAGACAGCCTATAGGCACCACCCTGTCCACTTTTACCATTCACACAACGAACAGTCTATGTATGTATATATATATATAGAGCGACACACACACACATGAACGAAAGAAAATCACTCACTCACTCTCTTCCTCTTTCTTCTTCTGTCCATACAGCACCTTGGCTTCCTAAGCTCATGGGGTTCTCAAACCCTTGGTTTCTCCTCTCTCTGTCTGCGAAACCAACCGTCGTCCATGGTAAAGTACTGGTGTGTTTGGTTATGCCTGGCTCCCTGTATGCCACTAGCAAAACTCCCTCTCCCGACGTCGGATTGGCAGTTGCCGGTGGCGTACCCGGAGCCAAGCATACCTCCTTCTCTCTCTCTCTCTCTCCTTTCTTAATTGGCTTCTGGATGCCTGGTTGATATCTAATTAATTAATTATCCTCAATGTGTTTCGATGACGTACCATGCGCGTCATTAACATACATATTTCATAATTATATATCAATACAGGTGCATGGTATTTATGAATTTAATGATTTATATTTTTGTCATCTCCATTCAAACTTGTCTTCTGCAATTCTTTGTTGGCGGGAATCGTTCAATCAATCAAGCCTGATTTTACGCGGATATCGGCCAAGTCAAGAAATGTCCCGGCCTTTGAATTGTTCGACCTCGGCCGAGCACAACACAACATTATTGCTTTCCTTTTTTTTTTTTATAGTCCATGTTGTATTCTTTTATTATATATGTTACGAATTTGGTTCTGTATATATGGATGGCTGACCTTATATAGTACGCACAGCTACCAAACTTTAAATCATCAAATCATTAATGAGATTCGGTAAGATATTTGTTCATAAATGTATGCTTCATTTTGTCATCTTTCCGTCAAATATTTTTCTATTGCTACCGGAATTTGGCAATTTTCTGTTATCATGTGGTACGACCTAGTGATTATTAGTCAACCAGATTCACCCAACTGGCCGACATTTCTATATATTTAGGCAAATACCAAGATAGCCATAATACGTCATTCCTAATAACATATTATTTAAACCATAAATTAAATTTAGTTTCGAATATGATAATGAATAAACTTCTGACCTCAAGTTATCAAATCCAAATACAAAGAAGAATTTTAAACTGAATAAATATTGACAATTCTAATTTATTGAAGTAAATCCAACGATTAGACGATTCGAAATGTGATATACTTATAGTACACCATTCGGTATTATATATATACTATCCTTCGTAATGAGTAATATTAAAGAGATGCTTTGATTATTTTAACAAAAAATTAAAGATGTTTTGATCTACTTTTCAAGCACGCATGAATCATGACGAAACATGTTTTGTTCCACTCTCACTTGGCGGTTTATAGTGTTGGGAACATCAATAATGTGGACAAAGTTGTAATGGATGGGTTCATACAATTCTTTGTTCCACCACTACCATTGAAGTCGAACCGAAACTCTTCTCTGAATGTTCAAAATAGTTCAAGAATATAGTTCCCTATATGTTTGAGGGCTATGCAGGAACCAGCAAATCAAAGTCCAAGTTCTTTCTCTTTAATTACATTATTGTCGTAATAGATTGTGTTGTCTAATCATTTGTAAGTTTTATATATGTCAATAACTGAACCAATATTTTTCACGTTATATTGAACGTATTAATAAAGTTCAGTTTTCATCTAACTAAATAAGCTTAGTATTGGAAGTTGGAAATAAAGTTGATATTTCTTGTATAAGAAACACAACACATGAATCATGGACATATTGGAAGTACTTTCATTGCACTACTCAAATAGTACATGCAACAAGGATACATATGTACAGGGTTTTTCCCCCCCATTTCAACACTTTCATGCCCAAGTTGGTCAACAATTCCACACAAATTTCAAGAGATTAAAAGCTATACCTTTATTCTCTTTAATAATGGAGATGGGTGGGGCATGAAACTCTTGATCACTTTGTTGGAAGTGGGACTACACAATATACAGACCATATGAACTTTTAGCTATAATTAGTTGCGGAGGATGTGTAGTTTAGGTTGGGCTATAGTCCTTTCTCAATATTTAATATTTAGTTATATAATTTGTGAATTTTATGAAAAATAAATACCGATAATTAGCTCCCTCGTTGGGAGAATTATCAAAATGTTATTGAAATTAAAATTTTTTTTTACCACAAATAGGTGCTCTAAAACTTATTCACACGAACTCGTGGAAAAAAGCTTATTTACAAGAATATGATGATGCTAGAGAAGTTTTAAGTGTGCGTGCACGAACAGAGCCATAATAAACATATGGTCTGGGAAGATGGAGAAAGCAATGAGAATGTCCAAATTATGGGAAGAAGTTAAGGCAGAAAGGAAGAGCAGGATCGATGAAGGTTGAAAGTCTGGTTCCCATGAAATTCAGGATAAGGCTACAAACAAAGATATAGAGACTGACCTGCAGGTTCTTAGTGTCCAAGACATAGACGAAGTGGTCCAAACAAATCTTTTGACGAAGAGAGTGGAGGATGAAGGCAGGATCCAGGAAACAAAGAAGCTCCCTTCAGTGCTACAAAACAGGGAGGATAGTGAGAAAGATGAGACCCAAGTTGAGCCAAATGAGGAAAGAGTGACTTCGACAAAGAGTAAAGGAAACAAAACATGGAAGAGGAAGGAAAGACAAATAGAAGTTAGCAATCAGCAAAAGGAACTGGCAGGGATGATAAGGAAACGTGATACTTATGATGACATGGAAGTGGATGAAGTTGGATTCCAAGAAAAGAAATTTAGAGCTTTTGTAACCCCCCTGAAGGATGGCGATGTGGCGGCCTTTGCCGAGGAGCAAGGCCGCCGAGCCCAATGAAGATCTTAAGCTACAACTGCCGAGGTTTGGGCAGCACCTTGGCAGTTGGAAAGCTAAAAAGGCTGGTCAGGAAGCATCAACCAGATGTTCTTTTTCTCATGGAAACTAGGAAAGATGAGGCTGGATGGAAGGAAGTTAGGAAGAGTCTGGGTTTTTATGATGGGTGTGGGGTGGCAGCTCGAAGTGATAAGGGTTGGAAAGCTGGAGGGGTGTGTTTATTCTGGACTGAGGAGGTTAATGTATGTCGTTTGTCATCCTCCTTGCATCACATTGATACTGTGGTTAGACATGAGACGGAGGATCTCCAATGGAGACTCATTGGCTTCTATGGTTTGGCTGGAAAAAAAATGAGAGATTCAAATCAAGAGAGTTGTTAAGAGATCTTCATGATGTTAATAGTATGCCTTGGGTATGCATCGGAGATTTCAATCAAGTGGTGGCGGGTCAGGAGAAAAGAGGAGGAAGATTGATAAATGAAGGTAATGCTACTGACTTCTTGGATTCTCTGGAATTCTGTGGGTTACTGGATTGTGGCTATGAGGGCTACCCTTTCACCTGGGAAACAGCCGATTAAATACGGATTTTATTGAAGAAAGGTTGGATAGATGTGTGGCGAATTTGGATTGGAAAACTAATTACCCTAAGCATCAAGTGTTGCACCTTGACCGATGTGGATCAGACCATTGTCCAATCCTTCTTTATACGACAAGCAGGGAGGAGGAAGAAATTAAGTGGAGTTGGTATTTCCGTACGGAATCTTTTTGGCTAGAAGATCCTGAGTGTGCAGAGATAGTTAAAAAAGCTTGTGAAGAAAATCCGAATGGAGAGCTCATCTCCGTTTTGAGAAAATGTAGATCAGAACTGTTGGCGTGGAGTAAGAGGAAATTTGGTGATCTCCGAAGGAAGATTGACAGTGTTCTGAAAAGCTTTAAATACAAACCTAAAACAGAGGTAATTCTGGAACAGAGGAGGAAACTGGAAGAGGAAAGAACAGAGCTGATCTATCAAGAGGAAATCCTATGGAAACAACGTTCGGGGATTGGGTGGCTTAAGGGGGGGGGGGGGGACAAGAACACGAAGTTTTTCCATTTTAAAGCGACGACCAGGAGAAAAAGGAATACCATTAAAATGTTAAGAGATGAAAGAGGCAGATTATTTAAAGGACAACAGGAGGTCTCTCGGTGCCTCCTCGATTATTATAAACATCTGTTTACTAAAGGTAATTTCCCAAACTGTGATCTTGTTATTCAAGCTATGGAAAGGAAAGTGACCCCTGCGATGAACGAGTCTCTTTTTAAACCTCTAAAAGATGAAGAAGTTAAGGATGCTTTGGTCCAAATGGGGCCAAATAAAGCCCCAGGTCCTGACGGTTTTGCTGCAGGTTTCTTTCAAAAGAATAGGGGACATGTCGGTCCTAAAGTGATAAAGGCAGTTCTGAATTTTTTCAATAATGGTGAACTCCCCCTGGAGTCAAACCATACCCTTATTGCTCTAATTCCCAAGGTGAAATCCCCCTCCACTGCTAAAGATTTTTGGCCTATTAGCCTCTGTTGTGTGATTTACAAGATTATTTCAAAAGTTTTGGCAAATAGGCTTAAAGGGATTTTGGATGATATTATTTCGGAAGAGCAAAGTGCATTTGTTCCTGGAAGAAGTATAACTAATAATGTGATAGTGGCTATTGAATGTTTCCAGTTTATGAAGCAAAGGGAACGTTGTAAGGATGGATTCTTTGCAGCAAAGCTCGACATGGCCAAGGCCTATGATCGAGTAGAGTGGTCTTTCCTTGAGAGGGCTATGAGAAGGCTGGGTTTTGAGCAGAGATGGACTAATCTAATCATGAAATGTGTGTCAACGGTTTCATACTCTGTTTTGGTGAATGGATACAAAACTGAATTCTTTAAACCTTCGCGGGGGCTTAGACAAGGGGACCCTCTATCCCCTTATTTGTTTCTGATTTGTGCTGAAGGTTTGTCAGCAATTATTAAAAAGGCCGAGTCCGAGGGGAAGATCCATGGGATCCAAATCCGCAAGAAGGCTCCTTCGATATCCCACCTTTTGTTCACGGATGATAGTATTATTTTTGGAAAGGCTACCCTAAAAGACTGTGATCAGTTGAAAGAAATCTTGCAAGCCTACTCAGAGGAATCTGGTCAACTGATAAATTTTGATAAATCGAAGGTTTCTTTCAGTAATAATGTCAGATGTTGCAGGAGATTGGAGATATGTGGGACTCTTGGCATTAAAGAAGTGACTAAATTTTCGAAGTATTTGGGACTTGCTACGGTGATTAGTAGATCAAAAAAAGCTATCTTTGCTGACATTAAGGAAAGAGTGAGGAAAAAGCTTAAAGACTGGAAAAATCGAACCATGTCCCAAGCTGGAAAAGAGATTTTGATTAAAGCCGTGGCACAGGCTCAATTTTTATATCCTATGTCTGTTTTTCTTATACCTGATGGGATTATCCAGGAAATTCAAGGTTTGATTGCTAATTTTTGGTGGGGTCAAAAGGGGAAAGAAACTAAAATCAAATGAATCTCTTGGGATGAACTCTGTGATGGAAAGGAGGAGGGAGGTATGGGGTTTCGTGACGTGAAGGCTTTCAATCTGGCTATGTTGGGGAAACAGGTTTGGAATTTGAGATTGAGGCCTCAATCCCTTATGGCTAAAGTGTTAAGAGCTTGGTATTTCCCAAAAAATGATATTTTTGGAGCTAAGCTAGGTCACCGCCCTAGTTATATCTGGAAAAGCATCTGGACTGCTAAAGAGACAATCATGGATGGTTTTAGATGGAAGGTGGGAAATGGGAACTCGATAAGGATATGGGAAGATGAATGGATCCCTGGAAAATCCTTTTTCTATCCAGATCCTGTTCCAGCTAATGAGTTTCTGGATGATTTGGTTAGCTCGATTATTGATCAACAACAGGGGATTTGGGATATTCAGAAAGTTGGGAGATTATTCTCTGTTCAAGATCAGGCTTTGATCTCTAAGATTCCACTCAGTTCACCGCCTAAAGAGGATTCTCGGGTTTGGAAAGACTCTGTTTCGGGCTCTTATACTGTAAGGTCGGCCTACTTCTGGATTCGTAACAAGCAGCAAAGCAAGATTGATCATTCTCATAGTTCTGGTGAGGATAATTCTGAGTTCCGGCAAAACCTATGGAATCTATCTACGCAACCTAAAGTGAAAATCTTTCTCTGGAAATTATGTAAGAACATCATACCAGTTGGGGCGAACGTGACTGACTAGATCGATTCTACTGGAGATGAATGCCCTTTCTGCAACCTTAAAGAGACTCAGATGCATGCGCTTCGGGATTGTGCTTGGATCAAGCGTCAATGGCAGGGTTGTGAAGTGAAAAACGTCTATGAGTTAGGGGAAAATCGAACTTCTATTGAATGGATGAAAGAGGTATGGAGGGTGTGCAGTACTGAACAAATCCAGAAATTCACCTCGATCCTTTGGTTCCTCTGGAAAGAGAGGTGTAACCAGAAGTAAAACAATAATAAGCTCGAGGAAGCCGACATCATCCCCCGGGCGATGTCCTGGATTGGATCCTATCTCGCGGCCCAAGATCCTTTGCTCAGATCTATAGACTCTGGCGCGACGCAAAGTGTTTCCCGGAGCCATCAATGGAGTCCACCCCCAATCGATTTTGTCAAGCTTAACTCTGATGCAGGTGTTTTCCAAAATGGTGGAATGGGGCTCGGTTGTGTATTTAGAGACTGGAGGGGAGCATTTGTTGGAGCTACTTTGAAGAAGGAGAAGGGATCTTGCCGACCGATTGAGGCTGAGGCTAGGGCGTTGGTGATGGGATTGGTGGAAGCAAATCAGAGGTTTTTTAGCCCCTTAATTGTTGAGTCAGACTGTCAAGTGCTCATCAACAAGCTGAAGAAGAAGGAAGTGGATTTCACGGAGTTGGGAAATTGGTGCGATGAAATTTTGAGGTTGGCGAAGGTGAACGAAGATTTGTCTAGTTCCCAGGTGGTTTGGTTGTTTGGTGGTAGAAAGAAGAACAGGCTCGCTCATTGGCTGGCCCATTCGGGGTCGGTTTGGGACCGTCAAGTGGTGTGGACCGAAAATCCACCCCTTTCTTTGTTAGCTCTATTAGAAGAAGATTTGGGCCAAGGCCCATGTAACAAAGGGTGATTTTTGAATAGAATACAGGTTCCCATAAAAAAAAACATATGGTCTGATGTTCATTAGCAGACACTAAAATTCCTACAGTGTTATGGCCTTAGGCGGTTACTTGACTACATATGCTCTAAAAAGAAGTTCAATCACAAGCAATGCATGCAAGACACCGCAAGAACTTTGGACTAATAAACCTCCTTTTGTTGGACATTTTAGAATCTTTGGATGAGTGGCTTATGTACACTTAAATTTTTGCATCAGAAGGAGGCCTTGGGCCAAGAAAGAGAACAACGAATACAGGGGGAGATTAAACATGGGGAGACGAGCTTGCCACAACCCGGCGCTCAAACGTGACACCTAAAAATTCGTCACAAAGCAACAGAAGAACACCAGTAGGCGGGTCAACCAGCTCATGCAACCCGTAGGGATAGATGAAACTGTGCTTCGAGAGCCAGTTTCGTGGTATGTATGAGAAAGGCTGACCAGCCAATCTTGACTCAGCTTCCTGCGAATAAGGCCTAACAGAGTAGCATAAGGATGTATGAGATCATGTCTGTTCTGTATCAACTGGATGGCTAGTTGAAAGTATGATACCACCCTCACCATTCGAAAACCGAGACCCTAGGTAATCTCAAGGCCATAAAAATGGCCCACAATTCAACCAAAGCCGTCGTTGCATTCCCAATGTTTGCCACGAATCCACCTTGCCAGTTCCCCAAGCTGTCGTGAACAACACCACCTGCACCGGCCGCTCCAGGATTGCCGTTTGAGGCCCCATCGGTGTTCAGCATAATCCATCCTTCTGAAGGCGGAATCCATTCGATGTTAGCGCTCACGCGCTCACCCTCCTACTTCCTGTGATCAAAAACCAAACTTGGAGAATTCCAGGCATCAATCCAAAACTTACTCTTAATCAGAATGGAGTGCATGGGGGTGGGAGCGGTCAGTGCAGCCCCAACTCCTTCAAAAGAAGCAACCAATTGGTTTTTCCCGATCAACCAAATGGCCATACTAAAGAAAGCCGGCCAGCCAATACCTGACATCGTGGTATCTTTGCTCAGAAGGTTGTTGCGCAGCTAGTCTCCTTGATTGGAAGAAAAGAACATTTGCTGCTTCTCCTACGGACCATTCTTGCTCAAAAATACATCGCAGGAGCACAGTCCCTCAGAAGATGGATAATGGATTCAGTATTCCCAGGGCAGCGAAGACAACAAGGCGAGTCAATAACCCTCCTATGAAACCTCAAGTCATTGGTTGCAATCTTCCCCTGCATCGTGAGCCAAACGAAACCTCTAACCCGTTCCGGGACCGTCAGCTTCCAAATAACTTTCCAGGTGTTATCATAAGCTTGTTCCCCCTGTCTGGTCAGTAAAACATAGGCAGATTTAGTATTGAACCTGCCATCTGCAGTCTTGGACCAGAAGAGAGAATCTTCCTCTTGTGAAAGCTTATCCACCGCCGTACTCAGGATTTTATTGCGAATATCCGGAGGCAGAAGGTTGTTGAATAACTTTGTACGCCAGCTTCCGTCGTCCTGAACAAAGTCCGCAACCGTAGCTACTTCCATGTCCCCTGGAATAACTCATGTGGCCTTCTCCTTAAGGGGTCCCTGCAAAACCCACGGATCCGCCCAAAATTTTTTCTGTTTCCCATTCTTAATATTTCACGCACAACCCTTCTTAAGAAGATCAGTAGCTTTCAGCAAGCTATTCCAGGAGAAGGAACTTCCCTGACACTTCAGGAGGACATCAATTCCTTGGCGTTGCCTTCCGTACTTGGAGTGGAGAATACCGGACCAAAGACTATCCTTCTCCTTGAGCAGCCACCAGCAACCTTTAGCGAGCATGGCTATGCTGGCTTGCTGAGTCGGTCTTAAACCTACTCCCCCTTGCTCCTTAGGTGTATTCAACGTTTCCCAAGCGACAAGGAGCATTTTAGCTTTCTCCTCCTCATCACCCCAGATAAAGTCCCTGCTGATTTTTTCAATGCTCCTGCACACACCGCTCGGGATCATCTCAGTATGCATGTTATACACAGGTAAAAAAGCAGTTACCGATTTAGCCACAATAAGGCGGGCTGCAAAGGAGAGTCGTTTAGCTTTCCAAGGCGCCATCTTTTCTTAATACGAAGCAGAAGAGACTAATAGTGTCCTTTGGTCACTCGTTCATGAATCGCCTGAATCCCGAGGTATCTTCCTAGAGCAGCCTTGAGGGGAATCCCTGCACACGCGCTTAGAATCTCTACTCTCCTCCGCGGGATATTGGGCGAGATGTAAAGAATCGACTTGTTGTAGTTCACCCGTTGCACTGAGTTGTGGCAAACATCGGCCAAGATCTGCTTCACGACCCGGATTTGTTGCTTTTCTACTTTCGCAAACAGCAACAGGTCATCTGCAAAAAGAGATGCGTCAATGGGGACCGGAACAATTCAGCCTTATGGCTTTCCAATTTCCGTTGGTGACCGCCTCATCAATCTTATGAGATAATTTTTCCATACAAAGGACAAAGAGGTAAGGAGAGAGAGGGTCTCCCTGTCGCACTCGACGGGTAGGTGTGATCGGTTGGGACAACTCGCCATTCCATCTGATCCTCATACTGTTATGCTCAACACAGTACATTATGCACCTGATCCAAGAACTGGAGAGCCTCACTTCCTTAAGCGTATCTCGGAGAAAGTCCCATCTAAGCATGTCATAGGCCTTCTCTAGATCAATTTTGAAGACCAGCCCACCCTTCTTCCCTTTCCTCTTCCGAAGGGAATGCAAGACCTCTTGAACCACAATGATATTGTCTGTAGTCTGCCTACCAGGGATAAAGCTGCTCTGATGGGGTGAGATCAACTTCCTCATCAGAGGCTTAAGCCTGCATGTCATGGCCTTAGTAATGCTCTTGAGGCAGATATTATTGAGATATATGGGCCTAAGCTGAGTGACACACTCAGTGGAATCGACCTTCGGAATTAGCACCAGAGTGGATTCCGTTACTTCTTCAGGTAAAGTACTATTCTGGAAGAAGGAGATAGCCAGGTCAGCCAAAGATCTCCCCGTCACCTTCCAGAACCGCTGGTAGAAAGCCGCGTGGTAGCCATCTGGACCTGGTGCCTGGAAAGGTTTCATATCGAAGATGGAGTGTAAAGTTTCAGTTCTTAGGCATTTCCACCAAGTCTAAGGCTTACAAGCTTTACAATCCTATCAGCTATTGCAAAGAAATTGCATTTGGGCTTTCAATTTTATGGGCTTTCTTTTGGATCGAATGATGGGTTTCATTACTCATCATCAATAGTATCATTTATAGTTGAAACATAAAACTGTCACCACCATTCAAAATTCCCTGCTCTTAGAGTGATTTTCGGAATCTGACCTGGCAACCCATTTAAGCGCGTTTTCTTTGCTTTTCCATCGACTGAACTGTCCTCCCTCTTTCTCTTTCCTTCCTGCAATGCCTTGCAACCGACTATTGACCTCATTCCAAATTTTAGAAACCTTCGACTGGAACCCTAATACCCTTGTCGCCTTTCTATCACCTTTCCCAAATATTCGCCGGCAATCTTGTAACTGCATCTCCGCCGAGTCCATATTCCTGTAACCCACTCGCCCTTTCCTTCTCTCCTGCAGGTCTGAAGAATCGCCTGATCGGAACCCACAGCCTGTTACGACTCCCCTACGGTGGTATATCCGGTGATTCTTTCCTTCAATGGCGATGTAAACTGCGTAGTCGGTATCTACACCACCGCCACCGCCAACGCCAAATTTCCATATCTCTTCCATAAAATCTGTCACCGCTTTGTCGTCACCATTTCTTAATGTCACTCTCTACTTCCATCTTCCTTTCGAATCTACTCCATTTCTTCATCCACTCCTAATTCATTGCGTACTCAATTTGTGTATTCCCATCACTTTTGTTTTGATAAATTACTCGATGCTAATTTTAGTTGCTTGCCAGGTTCCATAAAAGCCCGGCTATTTTGATTCCCTTTGTCTCACTGATGGACTCTGTTCCAGTTATTTACTTTCACGGAATTCACCACTCTGCCTCATTGACGCAGTTGAGGGTTTAGGAATCCATTCTTCCGTGAACAACCTCCTTTCCACGGTGAGTATTCTGTCTTTTGGTTTTCTTTTACTTATTGTTCCCCGAATCTCCCCCAAATGTCATTCCTTTAACTCTTACATGGATCCCTAGATTGTTATTAATTTTTTTTTGTCAGTTTGTGTGGGTAGATTTGTGACAGTGAACCAAATTAAAACACCTACCAGCTCAAACGTTTGCAGAGCATAGCTAGCAGGGAAGGAATGACTTACACGGGATACCTACCGTTTTTTTCTAAATTGGCCACAACTGCTGCTTGCTCTCTCCCTGCCTCTGCGGACTGGATCTGATTCTCCTATAAGGCAATCCAATCAAACCCAACCTGTCACTCTTATTATTTCAATTTTAAGATCTATATTTTGGTTGCTCCTGTTCCTTCTTCCGCATTCCCTGGAATGGCTAAGCACTGAAATTGACTCTCTTAATTCTGAATTTATATTTCGGATCCCGTAATGATTTTCTTCTAGGATTTAGTGGATACATTCATTTTTTAAACCTCAGCTTTCGAGATCAATAGATAGATTCTTCAATCATTCATGAGCTAGAATTTAGAAGGAATCTTCAATTCTCCCCTAGTACAAGCAGCCTTTGTTGTGACTTCATTCTGGGCTTCACATTGGTGGGACACAAGCTACATGGATATATCACCGACATGGATAACTTCATCGACCTCAGATTAGTAAGTACTATATATTATTCTCTTACTGTTGTTTTTTTTTACTTCAGCGTTGCTTCCTTAATCAAGTTTGGATCCTTTGTTTCTTCATTGTACAGTCTGTGAAACAAATCCTCTAACAGTCCCCTTTCCATTTTAGGAGTAAATTATCAATCAACTTTGCATGGAAATGCAACAACCAATTCAAGGTGGGCTGATGTACAATTTCTTCATGTAAATTGAAGAATTTGGTTCTTCATTTTATAGTCTGTATCCTGTTAGCTTGGCAGTGTTTTTATAGAACTGATGAGATAGGATTGCGTATTAGTCAAAATGTGGTTCAAAAGTTCAACTCTACACATTATTATTCTTATGAAATGACTTTTACCCATGTTAAAGAGCATGCTACAACGGAAATTCACAGCATGCTTGTGGCAGTGGGGTTTCCTTGGTATAAAGCTAAAAAGTGGTGTAGTTCTTTCATTATTAAAGGTGAGTATAATGAAATTCTCACTCATGTTTCAACTTCTACTGTCAAAATCTTGCCCAATTTTTTAGGATATGGTGGCACAAGTAGTTGTTGTTAGCTCATACCACTGCTTCATGCAATAAGTGTATAATGAATTCGAAAAGGTTCCACCTCTAATGACAATGATTTCAGTGTTCACATTCTGTGATTAATGTTTGAGAAACTGTGGTTTGATCGGGTGAAGTTGAAATATTTATTCTTGGAAATCTTGCCGCTTTGTACGCAGCTTCTGAGCTAATAAAGAGCTTAGTTGAGCCGAATCTTCAAGAATACTGACCTATAATTATGCATCTATCAAGTTCTGCACGTTCACATTTGATACAATTGCGGCTCAATTCACAGGTCTGTCTTCTTCTCGCTCTTCTATTATATGATTAGTTTGAGATTAGGCATAGAGAACTGTGTTTCAATAAGCTTCCTTAGCTGATTACGATTCTCTCTCGAAAATGTCCTGGAAGAGTGTGGTTTTGTAACTGTGGCTCAATGATTCGGTTAATTGTTGCAAAGGTTGTTTAACTGTGCTTGACCTCTGCTTCATCGCAATGGTAGCATGGATTAGTTGTCATTACAAATTACAAATATGTAAATTGACACAGACACAATATTTTGATGTTTGCCAATGATCAAAATTTTCACAATATTCATTCGGCCAACGGGCCGACCTATAGGCTATAGAATCTGTGTATTGTACTAGAGAGGTTATCCTCAAATAGGTGACAGCCAGGGGTCATCCAAATGCTTATAGTAGTAAATATATAAGATCAGAGGTTTAGTATGCCAGCCCACCCTTCTCTAGATCAATTTTGAAGACCAGCCCACCCTTCTTCCCTTTCCTCTTCCGAAGGGAATGCAAGACCTCTTGAACCACAATGATATTGTCTGTAGTCTGCCTACCAGGGATAAAGCTGCTCTGATGGGGCGAGATCAACTTCCTCATCAGAGGCTTAAGCCTGCATGTCATGGCCTTAGTAATGCTCTTGAGGCAGACATTATTGAGATATATGGGCCTAAGCTGAGTGACACACTCAGGGGAATCGACCTTCGGAATGAGCACCAGAGTGGATTCCGTTACTTCTTCAGGTAAAGTACTATTCTGGAAGAAGGAGATAGCCAGGTCAGCCAAAGATCTCCCCGTCACCTTCCAGAACCGCTGGTAGAAAGCCGCGTGGTAGCCATCTGGACCTGGTGCCTGGAAAGGTTTCATATCGAAGATGGAGTGTAAAGTTTCAGTTCTTAGGCATTTCCACCAAGTCTAAGGCTTACAAGCTTTACAATCCTATCAGCTATTGCAAAGAAATCGACAATAAACGGGGTTTATCTTTGATGAAGATAAAGATTGCACTTGGAATTTAGAACACACAGTCTGCGCTGACTAAGTGATGTTTAATGGCACTAAAAATCCATGGTCTAAGTCTGAAGATAAGGAAAAGCCTATTGCACGAAAAATCATAGTAGAAACCGTTGTTGTAGCACAACCTCCTAGTCTTTCCATACCAACAAATGTTATTGGTTCTACATTCTACATGAAGTTCGATACCAACAAATCAAGATTTAGGAGAGGACGAAGATGACTCTAATCATGATGTGCTAGACCTTCCAAGTGGTGGATTAGGTCTTAGGGTAAGACATCTACATGGTAAATAGCAATCTATAACTGCACCTATTTTGCAAACATGGGTTACTTGAAAATGGTGACCGTCAATGATTATCGTATACCTTCGAAGAAGCAGTAAATGAGGATAAGTGGAGAGAAGCAATGAAGCAGGACATGATATGCATTAAAAAGAATGCAACTTGGATTCTAACAACATCTTCTAAATGTGTCTTTCCGATTGCCTATTGGAGTTAAATGGATTTTCAAAACTAAGCTCAAGGAAGATAGTTCTATGGACAATTACGAGGCAATGTTGGTGGCAAAAGGGTATGCTTGGAGGCATGGGATTGATCAGACGGAGGTCTTTGTAACAGTGTCAAAGTGAGACACTATCAGGACACACCTAGCACTAGTTTCCTATCATGGGTTTCCGATATACCAATTTGATGAAAAGAGTGCTTTTCTGCATGGCAAACTATCTTAGGCAGTGTACATTGATCAGTCTCAAGGGTTTGAAGTTTCTTGGGAGAAAAGCAAATTTATAAGCTCAGAAAAGCTTTTTATGGGTTAAAAACTCCAAAAGTGTAGTGTAGTACACAAAAATTGAAGCTTATTTCATGGAACTTAGCTTCGAGAGAAGTGATCATGAACATACATTGTTCATAAAGTGATCTGCGAGTGAAATTCTTTTGGTCAGCCTTCATGTTGATGATTTAATGTACACTGACATCAGTCTTGTGTTTATTGAAGAGTTTAAAAGATCTATACAGTCTGAATTTGAAATAACATTGAGAAGAATGAAATATTATTTTTTGGGAATTGAGGTGCATCAAAGTGAGTCTAGCATATTCATTAATCAGCATACATACATGAGAGAAGTGCATGAGAATTTTAGTTTGCTTGAATGCAATTTTGTGAAGAATCCCATGGTTTATGGGGCAAAGATGTCTAAGGTTGAAGATGATATTCAAGTGATGACATATTGTATTCAATGTGTTTACTTAGCATGTTTATGGAGATACCAGGCTTGACAATATATGCTTGTTGCTAAGAGGATCCTAAGGTATCTAAAGGCCATAATAAGTTATGAAATTTGGTACCAAAAATGAATGAAAATTGATGACTATCCAGCTACACTGGCGGTGATTTTAACGTTCGAAAGAGAGCTAGCGGTTATGTGTTTTTTCTAGCAAGTGATATCTATTTCTTGTGCCTCAAAGAAACAACCAAAAGTCGTTCTTTCTGCAATTGAAACTGAATTTGCTGCAACATCTTAAGAAGGATTTTGGAACAAATGGGCCGATTCCAGTGTAGCTGATGCAACAATGATTCTAGAGCTCAATAATAAAGTTGACAGAGAATCATGTGCTCCAAGGTAGGACAAATCACATTGATATGTTCATTTCTTCAGGTAGCTTACAAAGGGGGAGTGATTGAGATGGAGCATTGTGGGACTCATGAACATATTACAGTTATGATGACGAAGACACTGAAGCTCGAGACTTTTCAGTTGCTGAGAAGCCAGCTTGGAGTGTATGATGCAGAAGAATTCAATGCAACAAAGTGAAGATGGAGTTAAAGTTAACACAAACGATTTCAGTTAAGGGGTGGATGATGTTGGGGAATCGAACTTGGGAATTGGTGGCATATGAGCAGAATATGAATTCAGTCTGTTAGTTAAGTTTCGGTCCATTATGTTTGAATAATTTGTATTTGAGTCCTTTCGTGTTAGTTAATAGTTAGAGAGACAAATGGTCTTCCATTCCCACGTTCCAACTAATTAACTACACAATACGTTTGAACCAAACCATTAGAGGGCGGAAGAATGAGACACCAACTCATATGCAAATTCCAAGGTTGATAAACCCTTATCGAGCTTCAAAACGGCTTTCAGAAATCCCCCGATCTGACTTCTAAAGAGGGAGAAGAAGAGAATGGGAAGAGAGGAAGAGGAACGAAAGAAGAAAGATGATGGGTGGGTTATGAAGGTTAGGTAGATCTGTTTTGTGAAAAATATGTTTTTAATAGATATATGTAATGGGTTAAAGACACATTTGGTCACTGAGATTACAAAATCGGGACATGTTTAGTCACTAGAAAAAGTTAATATCAAATTTGGTCACTACAATTACTAAAACTGGACGCATTAGTCACTCGCCGTTAGTCTCCGTCCAACTCTGTTAATGAAGTCCGTTAAGTGCTGATGTGGCAAACAGAATTGCCTAATCAGCCGGATATAACCCAACAAAAATAAAACCCGACCCGCCAAGTCATTAAAACCAACCCAACCCATGACCCAACCCTACCCAACCCTTCTTCCTCCTTCCTCCCACCTCGGCACCTCCCACCTCCTTCTTTCCCCAAAACCACCGCCGCCGACGCCGCTCTCCTCCTTCCTCCCACCACCTCAGCTCTAACAGGAACTCTGATGGATAAACCTTTCTTCCTCTCTTCAGCCATACCACCACAACCACCATTACATGCACTCTTCTTCTCCACGGCAAGGATCTGTGCGTTGCTGTGAACACCATTCCCACCTTCCCCGCAACTCAATTCGTGCATAAAACCCTTTTCATTATTCCAACCGCCGCTCCCCCAGCAGTTTTCAAGATCTCTAGCAGCTTTTCGGATTCCCAGCTCGAAGGGCGTAAAAGCGTCCCTCACCAATTGAATTGAATTGAATTGAATTGAAGAAAGGCTCCATCGGGTCATTTCCAGACACCATTACTAAACCAAAAAAGAAAGTCCCCAACACACAACAAGAATTCTTCCCCACTCGCTAGCTTCTCCCAATCTGCTTACAAAAACTTCATACCCCCAAGAGCTCGAAATTCCAACGCAAACCAGGCGAAAATAGAAGGAGGTTTTGGGAAAAGAAGGAGGTGGGAGGTGCCGAGGTGGGAGGAAGGAGGAAGAAGGGTTAGGTCATGGGTTGGGTTGGGTTGGTTTTAATGACGTGGCGGGTTATAATGACGTGGCGGGTCGGGTTTTATTTTTGTTGGGTTATATCCGGCTGATTAGGCAATTCTGTTTGCCACATCAGCACTTAACAGAGTTCATTAACGGAGTTGGAAGGAGACTAACGGCAAGTGACTAAATGCGTCCAGTTTTAGCAATTGTAGTGACCAAATTTGATATTAACTTTTTCTAGTGACTAAACATGTCCCGATTTTGTAATCTCAGTGACCAAATGCGTCTTTAACCCTATATGTAATATAAATTTTATTTCAATCATTAAATCTTTAATTATTACCTTATTTGTATATATATTTAGAAAACGGCTAACCCCGATCAGATCATTAAACCTCAAACCCCTTGCTCGACCGGCTCAATAACTTAAACCAGTTTGACAACCTTGATGCAAACAGAAAAAAATTTCCATCAATATCGTAGCAAAGTATACTCAGAAGTTGACACGACATTTTAATAAACAAAGCTCAATTAATTACTTCGTATAAACCAAAAAATAACAAGTGATAACTAAAACTTCTGATTCGGCCACCAAAACTCGCAAGGAATTATAATATATAATAGCATATCTACCACGGGAAACAAATAAGCAATCTACGATATACAACAAGGACGCGAAGGTGGCAGAAGCAACCTAAAGCGCACCATAAATCGTACAGCAGCTTCGGGCATCAATGGGGGCTGAAAATTTTGCGTGCATGAAAAATGCTCCCACCTCCTCCGTTACTTTACCCCATTTGATTCTCAACACTAGCTCTCATTAGTTAACCTACAGATTATCAAAAGAGCCACTTCTCAATCTTTCCATCCGGGCTTGGAGCCCCGAAAGCGCCTTCTCATCCATCGGATGGATCCCACCATGCGCAGGATTCTCTGCGTCGACTGGTTCAGCTGCACGAGGAGCAACCGGAGCAGCAGTCAGGCTGTTGCTGTTGTTCACATTGTCGTTCATAGACATCAATGGCCTAGCACCAGAGTCAGGTAGGTTCCCGCCAGTGGCGGCTAGTTGCATGCTCTTCATCCTCTCCCGAATTGCATCCAGCGTCCCTGCGGTTACTGGAGATTGATACCACAACACAATGAGAAGTGACCCCCAAAAAAAAAGACGCGCAGAGGGAGAAACCAATTAAGATCAAGCACCACACGAAGAATTGCTTACCCAATTTCTCGTTTCTTTGGTCATTCTCAGAGACGAGGCCTCTTGAAGCAAGCACATTGAGACCTCCTCGACCATCTTCAGCATATGCAGGAGGTAGATGGAAGCTGGTTGGCAGCTCGGACTTGACGTGCAATGACTTTAACTCACCACTTACGGAGTTGGTTTGAACAGGTGACAGAGGTGCCGATGGAGGAGGTGTTGACATTGGGACACTAGAAGGCGTCCTTCCTGCAGCAGCGTTCTTCTCCATCTGTGGTTAACATAATGAAAGAGAGAAGCGTTGTTAGCATCAATCCAAATGGACCCCGACGATTCCATAGAGGCAGAAGAAAAAAATGCAAAATACTTCTCAAACACAAACCTGGGCTAAACCATCTCTAATATAAGTTCTAAATGCTTCGCTAGCATTTTGAAGCTGAGAAAATATATCCACCTGGAAAACACAAAACATGTGAAAGGTCAATGTCCACGTCTGTCTACAGAATATTAGAACTCCCTCTAAAGTTAAGTTTGAGAACGTAGATTCTACCTTGGGATACAATTGAGTAATACGATACAGTTCATAAAGACCAATGGTGCATGTCTGCTTGTCACCAATTTTCTTGAAAATGGCAGCAAGTTCTTGCTGTAGATGGAAAGAAAAGAAAATTTCCTTCAGTTTGCAGCCTTGCAGGCAGGTTAATTAGTAAAAGGTCTCGACTTTAAGAATAAAAACAGAGTACCTGAATGTGAGTAATAAAAATCCAACAAGTATAACGTATACCTTTAACTGGGCATCGGCAGAATGTGCTGCAGATGACGGATTATTGGCGGTAGAATCACCCCAATGAGTTTGGCCAACAGGTCCTGCTGAGGTCAACATTCTTGCAGCAGCTAAAGTCTGAAGAGAGGAGGAAGGAAAGAAACAGTTAGCTATTTTGTCTGTGAGCGGGAACCAACATCAGGAAGGGTTGGTAACTTCTACATCTGCAACTCTCACCTCGAGGTTGAGATCAATGTATGCAAGAATGATTGGTTGTGGTTTCATGTCTATGGGAACCATAGAGAGGTGGCCCTTAATTGCAGCCCCTCGGAGCTTAACAAGTTCGTGTAGAACAGTCTTCACCATGCGCAATGGCTTATCATCTGCTCCAGCCCTATATCAACAAAGGGAGAGAAAGAAAACGGTTAGTTAAAAGAGAACTACTTTAAGTTTCAAATCCAGGTGTAGTACAGACAATAAAATTTACCTTTTCCTAATTTCTTCCATTCCTAGTTCTTGCAAGTACATATGGATGCTTTGAAGAATGCGGTCAAGATCGACGTCGTAAATGGTGCTTTGAAGAACCTGAAAAGGTAATAAAAGTATAAATGAATTAAGATGCTCTCTGCTTAAACAATTCAACAGCCATGCAATGCCCTACTGTAAACAAGGTGTTACATGCTGCTGAGAACATAAAATGAGTAGACATGCACTGCCTACACATGTGGACCACATAGAAATAGAGCAGAAACAGCAACATAAAATGCAGGTACAGCTGAATATTATGATGCAAGATACAAGGCCAGCTGATGACAAAGAAATCAATATTGAAAAGACTGACAATAAAAGTTTACCTTCGTGAGTTTGATGAGGCATTTCACAACAAGATCAGAGAACTTCTGATTCCTGATGGCAAAAGCTTCTGTTGAAGCAGGTGAGGGCCACCGAGATGGATCCAATGGGCGCAATAGGTTAATCAGGACAGCAAATGAAGATGTCCTGTCTGCATTATCCTGCAGATGCAACCACTACTAAGAATGCTAAAAAGTAAATAAAAAAATATTAAAAGATTGGGTTAATATCCTGCGTGTGCGCACCAGAATTTTTAGCATAAGCACATTTAGAGCTTTCAGAAGCTGGCTACCATCATCCATATGAGGTACCCTCTCGTCTAGAAGCCAAAGTAGAAGTTCCGTTATGAGACTGTCAAGTGTACTTTCCTTAACAGCATGTGCGAGCCTCCTGTTTTGAAAAGTCTGTAGCAGACTTCAAAGAGTTAGGAAACTACAAAACATTATTGATTAATTAAAATGCAATTACTGTAGTGGTAAGTTTAAAAGCTGGTGTTGTGCCATTTTCTTTAAGAAAAACTCAGGTTACACAGAAGTCATAATATGAAATCTCCAAAGCTAGAAAGAATATAATACGATCAATAATTGAAAGAGAAGAAAAATAATAGGTGGAGTTTACCTGCATGAGGGTGTTAAGGACATATTTACAAGACCTTGATGAGGCTCCTGTCAAGCTGAAGTCAAAAGTCTTGGCAACCTAGTAAACCAAATAAGTCAAAAGTCAGATGAGGCATCTAGTCTGCAAGGGAGATATTCAGCGCATAATAGGGAGTACCTTGTTTGCTAAACAAGAAACTAATCTATCTGCATCCTTCACCAATTCATCCATCAAACTGCCCTCAGGATCAGCAGTAGCCTGTGCTAACTCATGACACACGACCTTCATTCCTTCAACTGACTGAAATGGCAAATCGAAAACACAGGCTCAGCAAGTGTATAAGAGTGTGATTTGGCAATCCGTTCAGATAGGAGAAAAGACACATGCTAGAAAGAGAGATTGGGCATTAAGAGGGAAAAAAAAAAAACAAATTTACATCATACACATCATATAAAGCAAACAAAACAACCATAAGATACATAAACTCCAAGCTGTGAATCACTTGGAATGGAGAACAAAGTCCATATGGATGACTATACGATAGATATCAAATGAACTGATATCTCCCGGGAATATACCCCTTTCACCCTTTGTTTAAGCAATATTTGTAATTTAACAACCAGCAGATACTCAACTAAAGAAATTAAAGCTTATAGACAACTATCCACCATTACCCTCTCTATATCAAGAGTAGAAAGAACTTCAAGATAAACTCAGTCCAATTCAAACACATCTATTTCACTCCAAAGAACAAAAACCAAACACATAAATAAGTGTGCTTTTGAATCTAAATTTTAGAAAACTGCATCCAAGTAAAAATCTACCAGATTCCAAATATTGACCTATTTTATGAATTGTGAAGCAACATCCAGTTAGAAGGCTCAGTTGAAACAAGAGATTCTCAGTTATTCAAAGTCCCTGATCCGTGCATCATTCTCATATCCAGATATTCCATGAATCATGAACGCCAAATGTGCCATGTGCCGGGCTACTAGAAACCAATTCACAGACAACTAGACAAGTACAGTTAGTAGAACCTGATCCGGAGAGCCAAATGAAATTATGTCAACAGCTTCATTCCAGTCAGATGGGCTGTTTGCGCCAGCAATTCCAGTGGAAATCATATGTCCTTCCATTTGATCATGCACACCATAATTTTTCCTGCGCATAGGCACGAAGGTTCTTTCTCAGTGACATCGGCTGAATGGGAACCTATCTATGAATAAGCATACATAAAATTGAACAGAACAAACTCAAGCAAAAGAAGATACCTTATAAGTGCTGGACCAGGAATAGACTGCGATACTTCTCCACTCTGCTCCGCCATCTCAGCCCTGAGATCAGTAATAAGGAGAACATGACAGAGATTTAGACCCCATTGGTTAACACAGTGAGCATTGTAATGGAAAATACCTTTTCTACACTTACGCTAGCAGAAGCAAACATATAACAAGTGGAATGTGAAATTCATTCGTGACCATTAATTACTTGGATCAAACATTAAAAAAAAACAACACACATACCCATTTTCCCTAACAGATCTTCTCAAAGCGGCTCTAGCATCACCTGGACGCCCTTCCCTTCGTTTTTCCATCTCGCGAACCTACAAATGTACAGGATGAAAGAATAAGGTAACTTACATTTATAGACAGGTTCTATAATACATCAACTCAAATCCCCAGTTCCATAACCAGATGAACAAGCAGTGAAGCTCTCGTAGAAAATCGGAAGCATATATCACCATACCTTCCATTTAAATCTATCATCCAACATACTCTTTTGAGCATCCGTTAGCTTGCCAACATATCTCCATATATCCTCGCCTATGGTGATTCAGGAGAAAATGAAATAAAAAACCGACACTCAGGTGATAGAGGTTACTAGGATTAGCGAAAAGAAAAATACAGGGAAAATAT